GAAAAAATGAAAATGAAATTTAAAATTTTCAGTGGCCCTGTTGCGAACTTGGTAGCGTGCAGTGCTGGTTTATTAAAAAGTGGCCTTGTGCCAGACACTACACAAAACTACTGAATCCACAAGCAAAGTATGAATACATTGCGTGAGTGAACTTAGTGAGGAAAAGGGGTCAATCAACAAGTGCATAAATAATAATACAAGTAGATAGCCGAAATTAAATGACAAAAGGCGTCTGGATGAAAAACATATGAAATTTTATTATATTTAAACAAGTAAGTTGTCTCGTTAGCTGAGACCATTAGTAAAAATGTTCCGCGCCAAAACAGAAAACCAAGATGGCCAAGGCGGGAAAGGTTTCATCAGAAAGAAAGTTCTGGAAAAATGACTTGTTAAACGAAAGGTGTATGTGTACACAAATAGGAAAAGTACTCACTGTTAACTTTGATAGTGTGAGTGTATGTAATACTTTTTTTTAGGTACTGGTTCAAAGTAGTTAGAAGATTCAAAGGTGTATGAACAGATTATCAACTTTCATTGAGGAGAATTCAGAGTTGTTTGCATCAAGACGAGGTTGAGTCTTGGAATGGTGTGAGATCGACCGTGTTGTAGAACTCTGATAGTGAATAGAGGAAAGTTTGAAAGTTGTTCGCATCAAGACAAGAAGTTGGTCTTCGAAAAAATATATATTGACGACTGTGTCGTGGGTCTCCACGTTTTCCAGTTAAAAATGGAGAAGTTTCAAAGTAGTTGGAAATAAGATATTCCGGTCCGCGTATGGGTTAAGGGCACAGAATAAATGAGTGAACCGTCTAGGTTGAAGATCAGGCCGCAACTCTGGTAGTGAATGGAGGGAAGTTCGAAAGTTGTTCGCATCAAGACAAATTGTCCTGGAAAAATATATACTGACGACTATGTCGTGTATCTCTATGTTTTCTAGTCGAAAACAGAGAAGGTTCGACCTGCGGGTTACATCAAGATGAGAATGAGTCTTGGGAAAGTGTAAGGTCGACATGTTGAAATTTTGGTAGTTAGAAATAAGATATTATGGCCCGTGTATGGGTTAGGGGCACGGAATAAATGAGTTGCCCGTGTAGTTAGCTTGAAAATCGGGATGCAACTGAGTTGGAAATGCTGGACGTCTGTGATGTCAAGAAACGCGCGGGGAAAAAATTCAAATTCTGATTTTAGACTTATCAGGAGCAGCTAGCAAGCGACCTTCCTCACTCCATCCAAAAAAAGGCTATTTACTGCTACAACTAGCTTAACGAGAGAGGAAGGGGTGCAATCCGCGGGCGCGCGCGCACACATGCACAAGTGTGGAAGGAAGGGAGGAAAATTCACGCACGCGTAAAATGTAGGTGGAATTACTGTGTTATTCCACAGCCCCTTTCCTTTGTGTGCATGTGTAGTCACATCAATATAAACATTAGTTTAGTCCAATGAAGTCCTAAAGGATGTAATGCATTACAGGAAAACATTTTCCACTTTGTCATGCTTTTCCCCACACATATATATATATATATAAATAAAACAATTTGTACTAGTTTGCCTGTACTATCAAAAGTGGTGGCAATATTAAATCATTTTTGGTATTGCCTTGTTACAATGTTTATTTTTTTCTGCAGGAACAATGTAAGATTTTGATCTGTACAATTAATTCTATTGTCACACATAAGAAAGAATTTTATATTTTAAAAGTAAAAATAGTACAAAAAAGTTAAAATAAAGTAAAGGAAATACAAAGCAATTAGTAGTCTGACCTTCCCTATTTACTAATGAGGTTTGTTCACTTATTGGTGTTGAGGAATGCCTGCTGTTACTATAACAATGGAAAATGTCATTATTATCTCAAATAGAGAAGATAAGGATGTGTGACTGATAAATGCATATTGTGTTTTGTATTATAGAATAGATATTAAACTGGTAGTTTTATTAAAAAATCTATCAGGAAATTTCACAGAGAAGAGATTCTTTCATAACAATTTGATATTTAAGGTTCAACATTGTAATTTCTTTATGATGTTTAAATGATCAAGTTCCAATAATATATTTTTATGAATGTTTTGAAAATGAATAATAAAAAATCAGTTATGTTAAGAATATCATTTTGATGATGCGAAATACAAAATTAAGCGTGTTCCTTTTTTTTCCTTTATCAAATTGAAATATTATTTTAGTAACATTTCAATTTGGTATCCTTTTTCTTACTATATTTTCAAATAACATACTCTGGGTATATAGGGTATGTCCTATTATTATTACTGGTAATAATAGGATGTGTAGGTAACATAACAGTTATTGGTATGGAAAGTGAGCAAGATGCTGTTGCATTCACTTTCACACTAACATCCACAGGAAAAGAATGAATATGTATTAATTTCATATGACTGAACTCTCATCTTGGCTGGTAGCCAGTTAAGAAGAAAGAATACTCTGAAATGCAAACCATGGAGAAAGTAATGGGAAACTATTCAAACATCTTTCCCTAAAAGTCATAGTAATTTACAGGTAATAATGAAGAGGAATCTGTGGAGAGCCACAATCACTAATTCATTATTTAAAATATTTTCTTGCCATGAATACATTTAGAAAAAAAAAGAGATTGCTACAAATGGTATTAATTAATCATAAAGAATATAGGAAATTGTTGATGGTATTGTTAGCTTGTCAGTTACATGCCCATTACAAAGTTTAGTTGTGAGGGGTTAGAGGAGATTCCTCACTCTGAAAATCATTTACTCCTCCCCAATAAAAACTATGTGAACTAATTTTAGTGTAGAAATGCTTACTCACAGCACTGATTTAAGGCCTCCCCACCAAAAATAAAAAAAAAACATTTTGATGACAGGCTTGGTCAATTTTCTTTTTTTTTTTTTAAGGCACTCTTACACAACAGATTCTGATAATAGGTTAATTTGGTATTTGTGTAGGCATATATACTGCTGGCCAAAGTCTTAAGGACAATGGAAATAAAGAAAAAAATATAGCTGTGTTGTTAGACTCAACTCTTTTTATTTAAGTAGAGCTTCAAAAAATGAAAATAAAATGCTTATATTGACCATGCCAAAATGAATTTTTAAAGTTATTCACAATGATGACCATGCATCTCATTATTGTGACATCTTGTTGGGCATTTCCTATTTTGGTTAGGAATTCTTTTAGGTATGGTCTTAAACCTTTCGACCAGTTAGTATTTAGCCTAATTTTCTTTATTAAATGCTAAAAAAGTTTTCAATTTTTCTTTTTCCTTTTTTGAAGCTCTTTTTTGAATAAGGGGTTGAGTCTAACAATGTAAAAGGTATATTTTTTTCTTTATTTTCATTGGCCTTAAGATTTTGGCTAGCAGTGTATGTAGAATATATTCATTTTAGTGAGAAAGTCAGAACTTCTCAAAAATTATAACTGACAAACCTAAAAATACCTTGGCTGCTTCCTATATTTATAATAAATTTCTACCGTTTTTTTATTCAAATCATTATTTTTATGAGTCTTTTGTCAAACACACTGTTTATTAGACTAAGTGTAACCATAGTAAATCTGTATTTATATGATAAGTCAATATTGGGCTTCAAATTCATTGAAAATAATCAAATTTTGAAATTTGTAAATAAAGAGAAAAAAATAATTTTAAATGAGACATGTTTGATGATAAACTTGTTGAATTCTTTTATCATCATTTTATGCCACAGTTAAACAAAAATATATATTTGCTACATTTAATTAAGTTGAATGGGAAACATGTTTAATTGCAAAATTCTTTTCCTGTGCTTCTCTAAGATCAAAGTGTAGTACTTGTTTTTTTGTTTTCATAAAGAAATAAATAGTTATGGAAAGCATGTTCTGTTGAATCATAACATTTCTATAAAATAAAAATTAGTATTTCTAATAAAGTATAAAGTACTCTAATAAGTATTTCTATAAATTAAAAATTCAATAAAATTTCAATATTCATTTTCAATTAATTAAAAATTTGTCATTTTAGTTTTTGTCATATTATTACATACATGTTCAAATGGTATTTGTAATATTTTTAACCAGCCTTGGGTATATGAGTTCATTTTTACCTTGGTACAGGGGTTACTAAAAAAATTCTTGGCTTGACAAAGTCACCTTTCGAAAACATAATTCAGTGAAATTAATATTTTTTTTAATCGTATTGCTTTTGGATTTTACTGTATTTTTTTGGTTTATATGATGTACATTTTTACCCCAAAATTTGTTTTCGTCCTATACACTAAAGGTATCAGTAATATATATGTATAAATATATATGGTATACACAAGCCATATGTAAGTATATTTAAATAGGTGTATGTAATTTAGTTCATTTGAATGCATTATTTGTAACACTAGTATGGATTTCAAATGTACAATGTGCTTGACCAATCAATGTTCTTAATGCAATTAGTGTCGGTAATCATCTAATTGGTATTTCAATTTTTATTGGTTACTTGGCACTCTGGCACATGCTTATTGTCAAGTTGGATATTTCACTGAAAGCTGAAGTGCCATATCTTAGACCTAGGAAACAAAATAGTTTGATGTTTTGATTTTTTTCTGTTTAGAACAGTATACAGTAATATTTATTGTATCAGATTGAATTTTTGTTTAATGAAAATCTTTCAAATACAACGCTAGTTTTTTTTCCAAAGTTTTGTCTTCAAAATAAGAATGTGTCTTATACACAGGTGCATCTTATATTCTGAAAAAATACGGTAATTGAAAAAAAAAGTAAAAGGAATTTAAAAAAGTATTATTTAAAAGAAAAAAATTCATACCTATTTGTGTTTTTTATAGTCTGTTGATCATTATTTTGTAAATGTATCTGTTTTTTTTATTTGTTAAATTTTCTTACTCAAATATTGAGTAAAAATTTATATATTTTTATATAACATGATTTAAATTTAAACATTTTATCATCATTGTTTCTGACAATTTTCTCAATTTGATGCTTTTTTTAATGATCATCATTTTTTTTCTTGTGAACTTTGTTATAATCAGATGAACCAATTGGCACAGTGTTGGTACCACCACCTCAACAAATGCCTCCACCTGGAATGGGACCTGTTCCACCTCAGCCTATGGGTTATGGAACTCAGCCTAGTCCTATGATGGGCTATGGACCAGACCCAAATCAAGCAGGTGTGTGACTCTATTGGATAATTTCTTAATTTTCTTTGTTTCAAGTCATTGTGACACATGATTATTTTCTAAAATAACAAAAAGGGTTTACAATTGATTAATACATTTGGTATAAAAAGAAAAAAAATTGAACAGAATTTTCATATAAAAATGTTATCTTTTATGTATTTGTTTAAGCTTCAACCATTTATTGTTATTTGTAAAGTAAGTTGCTGTTTGTTTAAAGATGTAAGCATTAGAGAGGTAAGTGGGAATATGTGTGTTTGTACGGGTGTTGTCAGTAGAGGTAAGTGGGAATATGTGTGAGTGTGCTGTCAAGCATTGTATAAGCATAAGCTGAAATAATAATGTATATGTATTGTCATATAAAAATATATCCAATGCAGCGATTAAAAGCAAAGTAGGGTCTTACCTGCCTCAAGATAATCTAAATATACTGCAGAAAAATCTTTATTACATATTTATTTATTATATAATTTAATTTCAAGACAAAATCAATTTTTTTTCAAATCTCATTTTCAATCACTTTCAATTCATCTAAAAAAGCTTCAAGTTACAACTATATTTTAACTTATTCTTTCCTCAATTAAACTGGGCTGAATATTTTCTATTTGAAGAAATGCCATTTTCCACTTGTAGATTAGTGATAAAGTTTTAGGTTTATGTTAGTGATACTTTTTCATCATGATTACAAACTGAATTATCATGACTCCCATAACCCCTGAGGATTGTAGAGGCACCACCTGTATGGCAGCCATAGTAGCAGTGGTGTGTCATGAGCAAGACAGCCAGCTGAAGCCCAACCCTCTTCATGCTTGGTTTTAATTCAAAGTTTTCCTTCTAGACTGGTTGCCAACCAAGGATATAGAGCCCAGTCTGTCCTGCCATTTATCCATAGCTGGTGGGAGAAGAGATGGATTATATATATATATATATATATATATATATATATATTATGGATTATATGGATGGATTATATATATATATATATATATATAAAGAAGTAATGGATTTTTTATTAATCTGACAGATTTTATCATTTAAACGTTATTTTAGTGGATAACCATATATATTTTACTAGAAGCTCTATTTAAAGGCATTATTTGGTTTTGCTCGATTAATGAGACACTTTGTGGCTGAGTTGGTCTAAAGAATGTTGGATCTCATGCTGACTTCTGCTAGGGGAACACAGATTCAAATTCTACTGAAGGGTGCATCTTTTCTTTAATAAGATTACTCAAATATTCAGGCTTGTAGAAAAAAATACTGTTTAATAAATAAACGAAGTGTCTACTCAAATATGAGTATTCATTAAAAATAACAATTAATAAAATTAAGTTTATATATATATATATATATATATATATATATATATATATATATATATATATATATATATATGTGTGTTTTAAGACATTTTTTATGTTTAGACATTCTTTTTTATAGATACAAATATTTAAGTAAATGATCTGTTTATAATAAGCAGTATTAACAACATTTACCGGCCTGAATGTCCGAGAAATTTTCATAGAAAATATGCGTCCTCTGACAGGAATTGAACTTCATTTGTTTACATTTGGATATGCATCAAGCAGATATGAATGTACGAGAGAAAATCATGGAAGATTGTAGTTTGAAAACAGTAAAATCGACCTTGCTAACTGAAATGTTCCTCAGTAAAGCACATCACATTATATGACGGTTCCACGGATACAGCTTTGATTCCTGTCGGAGGACGCATATTTTATAGAGATAGTGTTTATAGATATAAAGAATGAACATGTTCCCATGTTCATTCTTTATAATGAATGAACATGAGAATCAATACAGCATAGTGGCTGGCAGTTTCATACCTTAATCAGTCCTCAAACAATGATCCTACCTTAATTGATCATCCACTTGTGATCTGATGATTGTCTAACACAAGAAATTGCCAATCACCATGAAGTATTGATTTTTCTCTCTCTCTCCATTTTATATATATATATATATATATATATATATATATATATATATGGGCTTGAATCTCACCAGGGTTGGTTTGTTAGGAAGGTGACTTCTTGATGTTATTGTTCTGAGGAGGTGAACACGCAGCAACCATGCCACAGATTAATCCAAGCCTTTTGAGTAAAATTGGATAACCAGAATGGTTCAGGAGCCCTCAATGGTTGTGTTAGCCCAAAGTCACAAATCATCATGACTGAGGGCTTAAGTGTACTGGCATTGTTCAAATTGCAGATCATGACAGATTATGCAGCCTCTCTCAGAAACTATAACTAAGGTCTACTCTGCATAGTTGCAGTATAAATCACAGGTGGGCTCTGTGGGTGTTGAATCAACCACAAATGTATCTGAGTAAGTGTTTGCAATAGGTATTGTCTAACTGCTTGAGCAGATAGGTGTGCTCAGAAAATGAGAGTAACTGCTCATATATATATATATATATATATATATATATATATATATATATATATATATATATAATTTCTTTTTTGAATAAATCAAAGCTACAATGTTGAACTTTCTGTTTTTTGCAATGTGATGTATTTTGTTTAATAGCTTCATTTTTTTTAATTCTTTAACTTCTCTTATTAAAAGTACAATGTATAGATTATATGATCTATATAACTGTTATATATATATATATATATATTAATGTGGCTTTGCTTCTTACTGTCATGTTTTTTTTGTTTATAATATTTCTTTTCTGCAAAGTTTTGGATTACATTTTACTTGAAGTGCTTTGAATTTCAGATTTAAAGCTTCAATTCTGTCCTTTGGTATCTCTCTGCTGACTGATTTTGAAGCTTGGCTCAATTCTCTCTTTGCTGGTGTCTGTCTTTGCAGGTGTTTTGCTCTTTTAAAAAAAATATTAGCCATCTTTAAGATTTATAAGCATTCTTTTGAGTACACCCTTTACTCTTTCCCACATATTACTTTAAACAACAACTAAAATGGATATCACATGTTACTTGAAGAAAAAAATAATGACATGATCAAGATGTTGACATTCCACACTACTTCAAATAAACGTTTAGGAAGGAAACCCCATCAATACTGCAAAGAGTGATAACAGTTTGAGAAACCTATTTTTCTAAGAAATTGTTTTAAGAGAAAGGTTTTATAAATTTCAACCAAATGCAGCACTGGTTGCTCGATCATTGAATAATGAATGTTTCCTTATAAAGAAACGGTTAATATTAATTACCATTACCATTTCTAATAACCTAACCAAGATAAGTACAGAATTATTCATCTACTGGTCTTGGTAGTAACAGAAGGAAACAAAAGATGTCAACAATCTCTAATGAGGTTCATTCTTCTACTTATGATGTTTTAAGGTCACTTTCAGGTTAATTACTTTAATTAGAAATTGCAAAATGGTAAATGAATTCTCATGATTTTTGGACAAAAACATCAAACAGATAAACACAGTTACTTATTAATAAATTCATTTGAAGTAGATATTGTTTTAGGTTAAATAAAAAAAGAAAAAATTCTATCCAGAATCAATTATTCATATTAAATATGTATTGTTCTAATCGGACAGGAACTAACAGAGTAGAATTGACTACAATCTTTTACATACAAGTACTATATAAGTACTATATAAGTAAACTAGATTATGGGAAAAAAAAATAATAATGAATTATACTCAACATTTTTCCTATCGTTTTTTTTCTCAACAATTTAATTTCAATGTAGAATATTTTTTTTAGTTTTCTTGCAAAAGATTAATTAAGAAATCTATATCAATGGAGAAATTAAACAAAAATGCAAAATTCAGGAGTGGATATGTAACGTATCTGTCTTTTCTTTTTCCTTTGCTGGACCAAGACAAAAAAAAGAGTTGAAAATACTGACTAGTTTGGATTGTTGCTTGTCTTTCATCATAATTCATTTTGAGTGGGAGTGAAATGATAGGAAGGCAAAGTATCCAGCATATAAGGAAGAACGGTTAGTGGCATGCTTTGCTTAAAGTTTATAAAAATCTCTGCTATTTTCTCTCTGTTTCCTTTAGGTTTTCCGGTGAATTATGGTGCCGCATATGGCCAACAACCTTATATGCCTCCACAAGGTATTAAATGCTACAGTTGCAATGTTGTCTTGCTTTTTTCTGCCATCTTTGATTGCTTTATTAAAATATTTTCGGTTTTCTTTTTCATTTTCATTCTTTTAACTGCATTTTAATTTTTTTCTTTCAGTGTTATTGATGAAAAATAATTGTTTTTTTTTTATTTTTTTTAGTCAAAATGAACTCACATTCACACATAGTGCATCACTAATTCAAATGTCATTTACTAGCAAGCTACTAATTTTCTCACAGGACTGTTCACATTTAGTAGCTTGAATGATAGTTTAGTAGAAAATACATGATAGATTTTCGTTTTATGAAGGCAGACAATTGAAAAAGATAAATTTTATTCAGTAAAATTGGCAGACTCATTCTGCTAGCAAAAACAACATGTCTTCTTTTTTATATTTATTTCTTGAAATTTTAAAAAGTTGGAATTTGTTTTTCTAATTGAGTACTTTTGCTTCTTTAAATTTTTCGATGGCAAAATATTTAAATATATTTTTTTAAATTTAAAATTGCTTGTTTAAAAGTGTTATTCTAGAAATTTCTTGTATATTTTCTTATTAATTATTATTAATATTATTATTATATTTTCTTATTATAATATTATTATTCTTTTTAATAAGTTTCTGATTTATTTTGACTCGTCAGTTTTAATCTCCAAAATTGAATCTGTAAAGAATAATTTAATAGACTTTGAGGATTCAGTGTTTCAAGAATGAAATAATGAATTTTATCCAATGGCGGAAAATCAAAAGCACTTTACATTAACATTATGCTGGTATGAGAGGAGACAGTTTTTAGAACTTGCCCTAAATGAAAGTATAAAGTAAGTTGACTGTATTTATGCCTATATCTTAGATCAAATTTAAAGCATATTTATCTGTATAAATTTATTGCAGGACCCTTTTTAATAAACAACTATAAATTAATATTGGATGCCTTTATATTTAACCTGGACAACAAAATTGAAATTCAGTCAAGTTTTGAATACTGATTAGATTTCTATTTCATAATATATTTTATAAATGTAGCTGAATCTATGGAGGGGAAAAGGTTTTGAAATGTACAAGTTTGAAAGTATTTTTGATCATTTAAGTGGTTTAACTGTATTAATAATAGAATTGGTTGATGAAAATAAACTAAAATAAATAAAATTAAATAAAGATTTTTGGATTTATTCTATGCTCAATGTTAAAAAGTTTAAAATAGAAATCAAGACTTTATTTTATAAAAATTTGATGTTGTTGATTTTGATACTTGTAAAAATACCAAAATTAAAACCAAAAAGATCCAATTCTGTAGCCTAGTTTGTTTTATTTGAAATGTGGTTATTAGATGAATTCTATTAATTCTACAACTTGTTATCAGAAAATGCTTTGGTTTTCCTTACATCTTCTTGTAAAGGGTGAAAAAAGAAAAGAAGATAGTAACTTTTAAAAGGCTAAATGTGTTTATCAGTCAAAGAACTTTTATTAATCTATAGATTATCATTTTGTCCAACAACAATCTTAATTTGTTTGCTGTAAATTTTAGAAATATTTTTATTTTTATTCATTTCAAAGATATTATTGTGGACATTTACTAACTCCAGATTATTACCTATTTTCTTGATTTGGTTTGTAAGAGGCAATAAAAGGAGAGTCATGTTTTCCTATAAAAAGATGATGCATATCATATGTTAATATACTAAGCACTTTTTCTCTTCTTAGGTAAGAAAAGATTATCAAATAATGTTAATCATTTATATTTCATTTCATTATGTAAACTGAATTTCTTAATTGACACATCAGTTTTATGGCTGAACAAAAACTTGTGGATTTTCATTTACAGTTTATTAGATTTAGGAAAACTGATTTCAAACTAGAATAAAAAAAAACGTCTTGAACAATTTTAATTTTGTAAAATTCATTTGAATTAAGAGATAAACAAAAAATCTACTTTCTTAGCAATTCATGACTATATTGTTTTTGCAGTCACAATTTAAATGATTATTAAGTAGACTAAAAAATTTTTTTTATTTATCTGGCTCAAATATAGCATTGATAAAGATGACATGGAATGAAAGTAAAATGAACAGTGGATAATTTAAACTGTTAAGCACACACATATTAGGAAAGATAAGGGAACCTTATTTAATTATATTTATTGATCACACAACCTTACTAATGAAATATTTTATTATTATGGTAACATGAGATATTACTTAATGTCAATAAACAGGTATGCTTCATGTTACTGTAACAACTGAATATCTCATTAGTAACTAGCAACAACAGTTTACTAATACATTGACTTTTTGTTTTATATTAGCATTCTTTGGTTATTGTTACTTTTGGTTATCTAGGAAGCAGAATTCTTTCTTACATTCAACAATAGTTGTATATATATATATATATATATATATATATATATATATATATATATATATTAGGTATTTCCACAGATTTGTGATACCTAAAGTTTCAAATGAATTTTTAAAAATTAAAAATCTTTCTTTTTAGTTTTAATTTCAAGCTAATAGATTAAATTTAATATTTCCAATAAGTAAAATACTTTGCAGTCTTTCAAAAGTAGTTTAAATTGACTGGAAGGAGTTTTTGTTTTGAAATTGTTGAAATTAGTGCCAATTTTAGCCATCTTTCATCAGAATGTAATTCTCTTTATTAAAAAAATCTTCTAAAAATAAAATATACTTTTCTGAAATTTTATTTGAGGACTATTAGCTGATTTAAATTTTTGAAAAAATATTATTTACTTTAAGTCTAAAATATCATAGAAATGCATTTTTTTAACATGGTGGTAGCTGTTTATTTAAGGTGTTGATATTGAATGACAGAAGATTATCTAATATTTTTCTATGATGTGTATATCTGTTAAAAATTAATTGAGGAATATAACTTAATAATATAACTTTTTCTATATAATTTTTAAGTATTCAGTAGTCTGAAAAATTTAGGAAAATATTCTTTGTAATCAAATGTTTTATTGAATTTTAGGTACTTTGGCTTTAAATTTATGATAGTTACTTCATTCATTTTCTGATAATGTCATGTGTGAACATCTGAATCTACAAAAATTGGCACATTTATACACAGAAAAAAATGTTCAAAATTCTTCTTAAAATATTGGGGGCCGATGAATTGTATTAAGCTTTTCCATTTATGATTAATAAATATAATTTTTATTTAATAACAAAATCACCTAACATTATTCATTGAAAAAAAAAGAAACTTTTTTAAGACAATAGGGTCCTTAATATATCTTATTCATAAAAGCAATTAAAAGTTTTTCTGATAATTTTTTCAAGGAGTTCTACTTTTAACTATAATAAACATTAATGTTTACAAAATTTTATTTCTTGAAATTTCATAAAATTAAATAATGTGGTGTGGTTAACAGATGTAAAAAAAAAATATATATTTTCAGTAAGATTTTCTAAAAAGGATTATTTCTAAAACAATTCCATTCATTTGTGAATAAGTTCTGAAAGTTTCATTAAAATCTGACAATTTAATTTTTGCAAGAATTTCCAAATAACTGTCTTTCACTGCAAAAATAACCAAAAAAAAAACAGTAAAATTTGCTATGCTAATTTTTATTCTGTCTGCTGATGCAAGAAAAGCAAGATTTTTAACTAAAATTTTGAACGTTCTAAAAAGGATTTAAAAAATATATTTAAATAATCAAAAAATACTTTGGTCTTTCCTCTTTGATGATAAGATTTTGTTTTTATCAAGATTTTTTCATCATGGTATGCTCTTCTTGTAGCGAATTAGTGGAGGTACCTAATATATATATAATCTTCCATTACTCAGGCAGAAAATATAACCAGTACAGTTGTATAATTTGATGGTATGGATAAACTAGTTTTTGCAGCTATCTATCATTTAAAATTTGCTCTATTTATAGAGGAACAGTGTTCAATATTGAAATAAAGCATTTATAGATATAGGTGCTATTGAAATAAGAATCAACACTGTATCATGACTGTCAATTTCATGTGTCAATGTGAGCTTCAGTATATAAATGGACATTGAAGTCAACACTCAGCAGCAGCAGTCTGTTTTTTGCTTAAAAGCAATCTTCAGGCCATATATATATATATATATATATATATATATATATATATATATATATATAATGGAAATAAAAACGGCAAGATGAGCTTTACCATTCATGATTAAAAAAAAAAAAAATAAGCAGTCGACCGGTTTTGCCTTCACTCAACAGAGCTGAAATTGAGGGAAGATTAAATATTACAATATAAAACATAAAACATGAGAAGCATGTGATGAAATAAAGGCAGAACAATCAGATGGAAATAATGTCAAGCCTTAACAGACATTCCCTCTGTTTACAGAGGGTGGTCTGTCTGGACCTGATATAGATTGTTTCCAATGTCTTCAAATGTAGTAAAGAATGAGTATGACTAAGGATGGAGAAAGAGTCAATGCTGAAATTGGTGGCACAGCTTGGATTATTTATAAGGTTCTCAGCAATATATATATATATATATATATATATATATATATATATAAATCATTTAATCAATTCTTGCATGGCTTTTAAAGCAATGGGATTATATTATTTAATAGATATATATAGAAAACCTCACATCTGTGCATGCTAATATATATTCTAACATACTTATTCTGATGCACCCGAGAATAAGAACTTATTTATTAATTTGTTTATAGTTTTAGCAAACGTTTTACATACAAAATTGTAAGTTGTTATTGGAATGTTTATTGTTGATCATATTTGTGTTAATTTGATATTTGATAACATCGCATTGTATCTTGATAAAAAGAGCCTTTTTTTTTCTGGTTATGTATCATTTTGAATATTGATTTTTGTATGTTTTTGTTCTTTTTTTTCTTTTCTTTCATTCATTTCCTTATTTGGTGGCTGCTCAGAAATTGATCCTTTATTGCATGCAGAAGGTAATGTTTGTTGTCAAAAGTGTTTTTTGCCAGCCTCAACCTCTTGCATTTTGC